GCTATAGTGTAAATATCTGTGTAGACTGCAAGCTATAGTGTAAATATCTGTATATAGTAGCACCCAAGGATGTTTAGTTAATTACCTTTCGTTTATCATTTATTTTTACTATACTTTTGTGTGATTGCGTGTATTCTTTTATTTAACAGTGCTTTATGTAATGGTCTATGTCTCGTTTGGTAAGATTGAATTTCAAAATCTCATGTAAATAATTCAACTGTTTTAGTTGTGGTACCACTACCGGCCTCCGGATCCCAGTGAACGGCCGCACACTCGACACTTTTCGTTTTATTTAACAGTGATTTATGTAATGGTCTATGTCTCGTTTGGTAAGATTGAATTTCAAAATCTCATGTAAATAATTCAACTGTTTTAGTTGTGGTACCACTACCGGCCTCCGGATCCCAGTGAACGGCCGCACACTCGACACTTTTCGTCTTTTGACGTCCACGATCACCTTCCGGAAGCAATGAAGCTACACGAAGCAATCATGTCTAACTGCGAGCTGGATCTTGCCGATATCAATCTATCCGACATGGATCCCGAAGATATCACAGTAAGCCTAACTAAGATAAATCGAACAGACGGACGATTATTGGACTTAGTTTGATGGTTCTACTACTAAAGACGAGCAGATGATAATACTTGTTATAGAGTTTTATATACTTATTGACCGTCTAAATCCAGGCCAGACTAAGTAGGTTAAAACTATGTCGCAGTAGCTATTACTTCCACCTGTGTGTAGGGCCAATTAGAGGGGGGTGGGGGGCATTTAGCTCGTGCCTTAAGCTCAAAAGTGCCTTCAAATTTAGTTATTTTTTTGCATTTGTTAAGTTTCGCGACTTGTTTTTACGTGCCTCCCAATCAGACCAAATATGACACATTCTCAGCTTAGGGCTGCAAATTATATATATATATACTAGTGTATAGCCCGTCAAAAATGACGAGGCAAGTACTCTAATACTAATCCGTCAGGATCACGCTGAAATAAATAAATTTTGCGAAATCCAGCTTGACCAACAAAAGAGGCAGAAGAGTGCAGTCGAGGCAGTCAAACGTTGCCAATCAAAATTAAGATTATACATGAAATAAATTCGTGGCGTATTCATATAATAATTATTGGTAAAAATCAGTTAGATTAACAACTTCTAATATATATAAAACACAGTGAAGTTTGGTAACACTACGTTCCAACAATGGCTATAATGTATTGTGCTTAGCAACTAAAATATAACCTAATATTGCTGTTAGTCTCAGTACTGAAAGTATAAAATGAAATTTATTGGCAAACTATAAAAATATCTTTTAATCTCTGAATTTGGAGTCACCGTTGATTAAAGAAGTTTGTTTTTTATTGAACATTTTGGTGATACAACAGGAAATAGCTTAATTCAGAAACGATTTAAGTTTAAAGTTGAATCAATATTTTGACTTTCATTATAAATGTTATGCACTTGGCTCTGGGCTAGGTGATCCCACACTACATCTTTACTTTAGGCTTATTATACCAACACTCACTACACTTATAAGGTTCCCCGGAACTCCCTCCTCACGACCCCCTTGCACCCCCGTCACTAAAATCGTAATGGACAGACAGTAATCGAACTATTCTATCTAGATAAATGCGTTTTGGCTTTCATGACTCCTCATATTTCGAGAAATCAAGCGTGACATGACACATGCTGGCTTTTATATAGGTTGGATACAAATGAAATATTCAAATGTTTCACTTGGGGAGAGTGGGGGGGGGGCTAATGATTATCTTATTTTGTTTTCACGTGTCATCATTGTTTTATATTATAGCCAGGGACCTCAAAAGATACAAGTGGCCCAGGCCTCTCTGAACCTCTGAAAGAACCTACCTATGTGATCATAATGTTATTAGAATTCCATTAATAACCCTCACTTTTAGCAATTGTGTAGGTCCCACACGATCATGGCGGCTACACTTGGTCCAAAAACTTCGTTAACCTTATTTTATTCTAGTTGCTTCGTTTTTCTGTTCCTTAAGGAAAACATATACTTCACTTGTAGGAATGTTCCAGCGTGGGATCTCGGATATCCGAATTAAACTAGCTTATGCTTGTCGACTATGAATTGGTTGGAGGGGGGATAGCCAACCAATGCTGTCCGAGAACAGGAGATCTCGAGGTAACGTTGTCCCCTAAACAAAGAAAGTGAATGCGCTTTCTAGTTCAGTTCTATTCGTAATGCAGATTACGTGTTTGGTT